GTGTCATCCCCTCTCTCGGCCCCCCTGTCTGTCTGTCTTCAGCTGTCACTATCAAATAAAGGCAATGCCAAAAAAATACTTAAAAAGAAAAAAAGATTCTGCTAACGTCTGTAGTAGTGAAAGTGTTGCACCTTGATCTTGTCTACAGTGAATAAGGACTCTGCCTGGAGACTGGGGTTTATTAGTTGTATGTTAGTATGTTACTAAACCAAAATGTTATTGTTTGTTTATGACTTGCATTCAGAGTAAAACAATCCAGTGTACTGTCTTTCCCCATTGTCCCTCCCCACCCCATAAAAACTTGAGGAAACAAATTAAATAACATAACTAAATACAATAATCCTCAGTACAGATTAAGACTTTGACAACATAAAATCCACATGAACGATATACCTTCCCCACTTCAGCAAATATTTTCTGCTCTATTACAATTTCTACATACAACATTCTTTCATACTCAGCAACTTTCCCCATTAAGTTAATAAATAAATAAATAATTATTAGTCATGTTATTATCATCATCGTCATTTCTACTAGTACTGCTGCTTTTGATATTGCTGTGCATCTCTGTCTCTCCGTCTCTGTTGATGAAGTTTAAAACCTCCATGGACAAACTCTCTCATCTTCTCTCTTCTGAGCTGAGATGGCTCAGGAGAACTTTAAGCCACAAACTCATCTACCCACGTTCTTCAAAGTGCTTAGGTGGATTCTTTGTGGCATTAGAATCCAAAACACCACAGCAACCAGTACCTCTTCCGCTGACTGAGACTGCAAACTAAACACAACTCAGTCAAACTTGAGCTGCCAGGGGATCAGGGGATCAGAACATCTTATCATGTCGTATCTTAAATCCTGCTTAGGGCAAATACACATAGAATGTACACAGTGAAGTAGGAGCTTATTGTTGTCCATCAATTGAACAAGACTATTATTTCATTTCAAAGATCTTTTAACATAATCAAACTTTTTGGTGAAAAGAACATATCAGAATCCTATTACTGTTTAAAGTAGAGTAGTTTATATGCATGTTAAAACATGTCTTTACCATTGTTCTCTGCAAGATTTGTGGCAGAACAATACACTTATTTTTTGTTACAACTCATGTGTAGTGTACCCTCCTTTGTCCAGCCTTGAGCGGAGTTGTCTGTAATTTCACATAGCAAGACTATGATAAGATAATTAGGATATGTTATTTGCAACATTGCACACAATGGCCTAATACACAAAGAGCTATTAAAGGGATATACCTTGGGTATAAACGGTATTTTGAAATCTCATACCACGCAACCCTACATTTTGCAATGAAACATTTCTTCAATCAAGATGCATCGTAAGTGTCAATGTCACTTTGGTTTATTTGTGAACCCTTTGCCCATGAGTTTCACTACATTGACATTAAGATCACGAAACACCCCCTGCTGCAAAGCTTCAAGAGAGGGCAATACACCTGACAAAAACAGATGAGTCTTGTGGCCATTCTTCACTTGTAAGAAGAGACAACCAGCGTCAGTCGAACTTCGTGGATTTCCTGTGTGACATTTGCTGCTGTGACTGTAACTATATTTTCACCTTTTCACCATTTTAACTGCACAGCACGGTTTGTGCATAGTATGCATATTATTTGCAAAATTCAACAAATTGTGAGTGGAATAAAAAAATATGTTGCTATTACTACATATTGGAGCTGCACCGCTGAAAACCTGTATCCTAAAATCAAAGTTAAATCAATATGTACTGACACCTTGCATTTGAGAAGGGCAGAGCAGCCTAAACAGAACAGAACAGCTGTGAAACCTTCCGGTTGTGGTTTAAATGGATAAATTAACCAGTTTTGAACACCTGTTGGAAGGTGTCTTTAAAAACTCATTGAACGCAAGGATATTATAGAACAATATTTTCATTTATTTTAGTATTTTAAGGTGTTTTAGTACATAATATTAACAAACACTGTATGCCAACTGCAGCCTCCTCCATGCCCACTCATAGAGGCTTCAGGTAGTCGTCACAGGCAAAGGTATCGAACATGCATTTATTTTTAGTTGTTTGGTTTCTGAGAAAGAGATTTAAAGGACAAACATAGAAAAAAACAGGATGTCATGGAAACCATGAATGTGGTTTTAGCAGTTCTAACAGATGACCGCCAACGCAGTGTCACATAATGGCACTATGGCTCCATCTGTTGGCAATATCTGAATCATGAACTTTCATGAACTCTTTTTTTGAGTAAAGGGGCCTCTGTATGATCGAACCTCACTACAGGTATGTGGACCAGTCAATGAGATGATTGGCATTTCGTCTTTTAAGTAAAGAGGATAAACACCTGCAAAAATTAAACTATGAAAACATGACACTGTAGCTTCAAATAATGCATGAAGGTTTAAAAAGTCACATTGAGGAAGTATTTTGACAAATAATATCTAAGCTAAGTTACAGCAAACATGAGAGAGACCCTGATAACAGAAAGCTTCTGAACCTTACCTTACAAGTAAAATTGCCAAGAAAAAAAAATCTAAAAAGCCTGTGCTTAACAAAGACAACTAGGGTAGAAATGCTTTATTAAATGGACTGCATGACAAACAAAAATAGATTAAAAATAGAAATAGAATAGAATAAAAACACAAGCCAGCGTCACTTTGTGAATCTTCAAGAAGCCCCTCAGAGAATCCAGTTGGTGCCCTCATTCACTCATGAAACAGCATGACGATACTGCAACTGTTGAGTTATCTGAGACCAGCAGGGATACAAGTTGGCATGATATTTATCTGTGCAGGCAAAAACTAAACTGTTAAGTTCGGGGTCATGTTTATTTGTTAACATATTGAATTATGTGTTGTTTCTCCAGGACCAGGCTGTACAAGTTGACAAAACAGTGTCATCAACAACTGAGTTTAATAAAAAAAACCATTTGCAGATTATTCAAATAAAGTGCACAGTGCATAAAAAACATCACCTGTATGTGCCATGTGAATATTTTTAATTTGGATCATGTTAATGTGTAGGGGAGACTTAAAATGTGTTTCTATGCGGGAGGGCACAAACTACAACCAAACACCTGCAGAGACTGATTTATACTTCCGTATGGCAGTGTTTCTCTCCACTCTGCCAGCTGTGCAGCAAGCTTATTATAGTTAACTGAAACTAAAAGGTTAAACTATATGTGAACAAACATTTCAGGTAACTTAAAGAAAAAGAAAAACTATACTTTGATTGGTAAAATTCGTCAACACAACAAGCAGTTTGAGGCATCAGTGCATAAGTTTATACCCCCATATTATATATATTTTTTTAAACTAAAATTAATAAGATACTGAAACTGATAAAACCTGAAAAGAGCAAACCCACACTGGAAAACAACTGAAACTAAAGTGAGTTGAAATCAAAAATTAAAAACGAAATCAAAAATAACAACTAATGAAAAATACAAAACTATAAGACCCGTTGTATGCAGATAGTGCAGATGTGCACACCTCAACAGCAGAAACTAAAACTGTTTTGCACCTCTTTTGGTATTGCTTACACACTAGAACATTTTGGCAAAACCTCAGCAGATTCATCATTGACCATATTTATAAAGACTTTGCCTTATTGTGGGAGAATGTGGTATTTTGCTTTTATAGAAGTCAAAGTAAAGAAAATATGTACTTCATTATAAACGTATTAATTCTGTTGGCAAAATTCCACATTCATAAATGTA